GTCGACTAGATCTGTACAACAACGTACACCAACGTGTGTGAACTGGCGAACCCAAAAATCACTGCTCAATACAATGACATTTTTATTTGAAAAAAAATACTGACAATGCCAGTAACCCAGTTTCCCTGATTGATTGTATGTAAAAGCAACTCAATTACCGTATTACAAAAGAAATGTTTGTATTGAAGCTTAACATTAGTCGTTAATAGAATAGAATAGAATAAAATAGAATAGAAAATAAATAATATTTACACTGGACAGAGATTAGCGTATGAGCCGCATGGTGATTATTCAACAATTATTTGCAATAATCTTCAATTTTCAATAGTTGTGAGAATACAGAACAGGCAAATTGGGTGTGCTTGAAAAAATGGTAATTACACAGAAAAATGTGATCGACGCTGTTTCACGTATGGTGTGTCAATTTCAAACGTACGCTTCAGACAAGGCGTTACTGGAGGTTGACGTGTATGTTAAATATTCATTGAAAACAAATGGAGATATATGGAGATTGTATTGCAGGATTTTGTCTATTCGCAACTTATCCTTATTTTATCTGCGGCAATGACATAAAAACTTGTTTTGGCTCGGTTGCTTATATTATAACTTTACAAATGACTTGCCGAAATTAGCGAAATGGTACGGACCAGTATTTTAGCATTATCTCGACTCAGTGATATTTAGAACCCATAGAAATAAATAATTGCGTTAAATAGGTGTAATGCCCGTGCAACCCATTCAAGGTATGTATGCGTATGTATAAATTATTATATACCTTTGGTACAGTGTAACTGTTATTAAAAAAAACATATCACCATCAATAATGTAGCATAAAAGTAAAAAAGGAGAGGTAATTAAAGAACAATCGCATAGAACAATGAAGGGAACATCACGAAATGCTGTTTTACATTCTAATTTGTCATTCAAAAAACTCACAAAACAATATATAAATACGCAATATATAAATGACGTACGACGTCATCCATCGTTGACGTCATTACGACTAGTTCTCTCAAACGTTGAAGAAGCCTCGTTCATATGATCTTTTAAATATATATTACTCGAGTGCTCGATCAGATGTAACATTTGTGGCCATATACAACTTGCATTCGTTTATTAGGCTAACGGACCTGAACACGACATGCCATACAAATGGAAAAAACTTGACCATTGTGTTACTGGCAGTTAATACAAGTAAGTAAGGTCGTAAGGAATTGTAGCATTTTCAAAGTGAAAATGAACATATTGAGATTTTTTGTGATAAAATTATTTGTTCAAATATGTCCACATTTATTGTTTCACAAACACATAAATAGAACCATGTGTCCAATATTGCCCCCCTTTTTTTCTTTCAAACAGTTAAGTAGAATTAATTATGCCTTCGTCGATATAAATGTGGATGCGCAATTGCATGTGTTTTATTCTTGTCGTGGTACTCCGACGATAACTACGAAGATATGGCTCGATATTTGATCTTTGTTTGTGTGGCACTGGTGAGTACATATTATATTGGCGTACAGTCGATTATTCTGGCGAGGATCGTAAAGCAGTCTACATATTTGCTCTGACTTTTATCATAGGTTGGTGTTATTAGACCAGTAATAGAAGCGAACTGTGGGTTGCGTGTTTGAATTGCTGTAACTATCTAACTGATGGGTAACAAAATATGTGGACAAATAATGTAGAAGTTGTTCCTTGCTAGTCTGGGTCGCTCGTCACAATTTTCGTCATGTATTCATTATAATGTTATCTCAGGGAACCACATACATATTTTAGACGAGAGGGTTTGTGGGTGCGACAATGTGCTGAATTCTATTCTAATCAAATTTGTTTTTAGCTGGCTGGTTCACAATACAAGTACAACAATTAATATTTTGTATGATTTTACATCTTCGAGTTATTCTGCCATAGCATAAATTAATATAGAAATGTTGAGGCTTAGTTAGTTTGAGTGTGTTAGTACATCAAGAATTATTTTCTCAAATTAACATGAAACAAATTAAACTCATGGTAGCATAGATCTAAGAATTTAACTAGTTACAGCGAGCGCAATATTTTTACATACACTTAGGTAATTACCGAGAGCCTTTGCAACATCCCCAGACACTTTCCAGTAGACGCCCCAACGACCGTTGTAGACGCAATAAAGTTACATACACGCCTAAGTGACAGTTAATCAAAACAAGCGTCCAGTCAAACATTCATCAAACAGTCATGTTTTACTCATTTTTTATATCCGACACTTTATTATTTCATGCATACATATGCTGGTTCATTAAAAAAAATTATATTTTATATTACGTTTCGCGAAAATAATAAACCTAGTTGATAGAAATATTTATAAACGCCCCATAACATATAATGACATTATATACATTATCCTCGTGAGAACAGTTTAGTTTTGAATACAGTTTTTTTGATTTTGAACAATTATTGCTATTATGTCAAGGCGTTTAGACGATGATTGACGACGGAGGAAGTTGGAATAACGAGAGCAACGGTTCAAGGGATTGTGCGGCATTTCTGTCGCATCGGTTGGATACGTCCCGAGAGGAGTAGCGGCCTTCGTCGACTGAATGTTACACAAAAAATCGTTGAGTTTATCGAATTTTGTCTGAGATCTGAAGGATATTTGAAACTGGTATATAGTAGTGACGGTGTGGAGGTGAAACTAA